CCCGGGACTGGGGGGTCCCGGTGGGGGTCCCGCCGCCCTCACCCCAGGGCGGGTTCTTCATCGCTCTGTTCACACGCGGTGGGCGCTATGGCTCTTCTTGCTTTATTATCATCGTTAGTCACCATTAATTGTCCTTAATTAATAAAGCTCCTGTTCATTAAGTACTGCCTTTGCTACCATATTTCCTTCCTCCCATAATTAGGTAATTAGTTGTGTTTTAAATAGCCTTTGCCTCTACCCACCTCTTGAAGGGTGCACCTGTTGCAGCAGCTCCCTGTGGACCTGTTTCAGGCAGCAGGGCTGTGCTGGGTGACCTGTCCCGTGCTCCCTGGAGGGATGCACTGGTCCGCTGGCCATGCTCCCCAGAGGGATGTCCCAGTCTCCTGTCTGAGCCCCCCCTCCCTGAGCTCTCGGCTGGCCCTTTTACCAACTCTTGCAGACTCATTTGGTTTTACAAACTTACTTCAGACACAGAGAGCAGGGAACATCAGCACAAACGTGTTAAGGTGCAGCAGAATGGCAGCGCGGTCAAGATCCCAGCTGGTGGTTAACAAATGGCATGTGGAAAATATCAGTCTTTGGCTTCAGCTGGCCTGGCTGTTTCTTGGAAAGGTAGGTCTGCAGGGCCTGCTAGATAACTGCGGGTGTTAGCAAGGGAGGTTTGCTGAATCGGGAGCGCTCAACCAGTTATGGCTCAGATCAGCTGGTTTGCTGCGTCTGTGGGATGGTCGGTCCAAAAAACTTTCTTTCTGGAGGGGCGGCAGGGGACCTGTAAAGGGAGGACAGCTGGAATGAAATCCCAGTGATACCCTAAGAAAAACTGTGCTAAGATCGGCTGGGAAGATGGAGGCACCTGCATCTCCATCCCTCCCTTGCTGACCTCTGGGCATGTCCCATCGCAACAGGAAATATTTCTGAAAGGGCGATATGCTTTGACAGAAGCTGGCCCCGTGTTGTGCCATCAGAGCCACACCAGCCTGGATGGTTCAGCCCCTGCTGGAGCTGGTACTTGCTGTGGGGGTGGTCCCTGCCTTTCCAAGGGTGGCATCTGAGCCCGGAGCAGAGTGAATGCCCCAGAGCCAGGCCAGGATGCCCAAGGGAGCACCCGTTTGTGGCTGACCCGTTACTTGGTACCAGAGCCCAGGGGCTTCTCCTTCAACAGAAAAGTCTGAGTGGGCAAGAAGTGAAGCGGTGCCTGGGATGAGAGCGGGGACTCTGCCAGCACGGCTCACCTGCCTGACTTCAGCAGATCTGTGTGGGCCTGGAGAGGACAGAGAGCACCGGTAAACTACCAAACCCAGCATAATGTAGAGGGGTTTGGATATTGGGGTGATGGTGACAGAGAGATGTGTGAAGAGGAGTTGCCAGGAGGGGAGAAAAACTCCAGTGAGTCCATTGCCAAACACTTCCTTTAGCCCTCGCAGAGATGAACCAGCTGTTACTCAAAGTCACATCAGGACTGTGTTTAAGGCTTTTTTTTTTTTTTTTTTTTGCTTCACACAGTTAAAGCTGTGTCCCCTCTGGATGGGAAGGGAGGAGCTGGAAGACGGTGGTTTGACCTCCTTTGGGGAGCCCACAGCAGAGCTTTGCAGAGCTGAGTGGGGCTGAGTTTCGGCAACGCTGAGGTCGCTTGGCCCTGAGCAGTCACACTGCGGGGCCAGCAAGGCAGAGGGGACAAGGGACAGCACAGAAGATACTCAGCCAAAGGCATTGGTGAGGAGAAGTGCCTGAAGGACCGTCCTGAGGAAGAGGCCCGCAAGGAGAGAAGATGCATGCCAGCCCTGAGGTACACTGGCCCTTACCTGGGCTTCCAGTTTCCCATGTCAGTGCTGTCTGGAGGATGCTAAATTTGGGTGATTGTTTTCAGATTAACCTGCTTAAACAGCTTGCGGCTCTTGGCGGGAAGTGGGAACTTCCAAAGCAAGACCAGTACCAACACGTAACAGGGAGGGGAGTGAGAGCTGCCCTTTTTCTCACAGCCTAAAATAGACGCATGAGAGCTGGCAAAAACTTAAAACACGCTGAGGCTGCAAACATTGCTGGCTGCAACAAGCAGAAAGATTATGCCCAACTTCGTGAGGATGCAAAATCTCGTAAGTCACAAGGAAGAGGTTTGGACCTCAGCACATCTTTATTTGCACAGAGACACATGGGAGACCTGGATGTACAGGGAGAAGCTGCTGGGAGGCAGCGCTCTGCTGGCATCCCAGGATCTGGGAGGCTGGAGGTTACGGGCAAAGCTTTAACGTCGGGGTTTCATCAGCTACGATGCTGCATCTCTGGGCTGATCTCCTCATCGCCTTTTCAGGTACTTCCCCAAAAATACATGATGTTTTGTTCCTAGTGCAGTCCGGAGCCTAGCTTACGTTTGGTCTCCCCTATAACTCTCCTTCTAGACCATCTTGGTGCAGCTCTGGCTCCTAACGCCTTATTAAACAAACCTTTGCTCTGTAAGGCTGGGAGACACAGGGAGCCCAGGGAGATGCTGATAACCCCGTGCCGTGCTGCTCCTGTGAGACAGCTGCCCATCTGCAAGGGGTGTGCAGGCAGGGGAAGGATGGGGGATTTGGGAGCACTGGGCCAGGGGCACGTTTGCTGCCTGTCCATGGAGGACCAGCATGGGTTTGTTGTGCTCCCCGTTGGCTTTGGGGCTGGGGTCTGTCCCGGTCTCTTTACAAGGGAACCAGTCCCCTCCTACAGCCCCGCTCTGCAGCGCCTGGGGGACGTGGGGGTCTGTGAACAGAGCTGACCTTGTCAGGGTGCTCAGGGGACACATCTGCTGTGACCAGGGAGTGCTGGCAGGAGCTACTGGTGTAAGCCTCCAAAAAAGGCACAACTGAGAGCAACACGGAGGGAGGACAGACAGACAGTGGCTGGTCCCCTTGGGAGGGAGCATGGGTGGTGGCCGTGAGCCCTGAGGCCAGAAGCCCCACTCTCCCCCTCATGGCAGCAAGCCACCACCCTGACCCTCATATCACCACAGGGTGTGACGTGCTGCTGGAAGTCCCTGCCACCCTGGGATGAGGAGGATCCTGGGTGTCCCAGGCTTCTCCCCTCTAGCAGGGACAGGGAAGGGAGCTGGTCCTTCCCTGGGCGCATGATGCCTGCAGCAGTCCTGGGAGCTTCAGGGAGCTACTGGTGCTCATCAGGTTCCCCTCGCCAGTGAAGCCTCAGTCAAACACCCCCTGGAGCTGGAAGAAACCCAAACATGCGGAGATGCAGCTCCCAAACCTTCTGTGCCAGTGGTACCGCATCTTTGCCGTCCACCCTGACACTCCATGCTACGTGAGGAGCAAGGGATGAGGCCACACACAGCACCCAGGGGGCTCAGGCGATGCAGGGGGAGAAGCAACACAGGGTGACCATGCAAGGCAGGCGTCTGGCCCCACCAGCTCTAGGCAGAGCTGTCTGAAAACTCTCAGTGCTCAGAAGCAGCCAAAGAGGTGACTCCAGACACCAGGAACTTTTAGGAAAAGCCGCTGGGCAGGATTTTGTTTGAATTTTTTTAACCCTAATCACCACGCTTGACAAACTTAGTTTTATTAATTAACATCCTTGGGTTTATGTAACTACCTTTTTAAAGGTTTAATACTACCACAGTGAAATTTTCAGTGTTAAAAACAATACGGAAACCATCACATGCATCCCTCAAGTGCTGCAGAGTTCTCCTGCACAACCAGCCAGGTTGGAATGGCAGGTGGGGATGGGGAGAACCTGCATGGACCAGACAGGCCACCAGATCTAGGGTGCCATGTGGCCCACGCAGACCCTGAGCAGCACGGGAAAGGGAGAAGAGAGTCCCCCTCATCCATAAGGCAGCCAAGACGGAGCTTCATGAGCCAGTGTTGAGGCAGAGCCCACACAGATTGTGCCCCAGGACACTGTGGCTGCCAGAAGTGGAAATGGGGTCCAAAAGGGATCTGGGAAGCTCCTGGAGGATATGCCCACCTACATGGATGCATTCACCCAGTCCCCGCCATGCTGCATGGAGGTTCACACCACCTCAACACCCACCGCCAGGGTACCGCTGCCACAGGATCTGCCCTGTCCCCGTGTCCTTGTGCCAGCCTCAGGCAGCACCAGCATTCTGGCTCTGAGGGAACCTGCCCCAGCTACAGGCTGCCATGTCAGGTGTGGGGAAGAGCTGCCCTGTACCCCAACACCTGCTACATTAGTCTCCACTCTTGCTCCTCAGTGCAGGACAAACCGCAGGTCACCTCACTTGATGGTAACGTTGAAGCCTTTACACATCTTACCCTCCAGCCTTTCGCTTGAAGCTTTCAAGAATTGATTTTCATTTTAACCCCATGCCAGGGGTGCCCAACTCACCCTTAGGGTTTCCAGCTACATGCACTGCTCCAGGGTACAACTGCTCTCAGTGACAACTTTCACAGTTGGGCTGGTTAAGCGAGATGCTTGCAGGGAGCAGCAGGGGATGCTGGGAAAGGGAGAGGAAGACCCCCATGGGCACTGCTTAAGTCATGCAGAAACAAGGGCTGGGGCTGTCCCCCAGACCTGGACACGGACCTGGCTGAGTGGGGAAAGCAGGAAAGAGCAGCACCCCAGCCCCCTACACACCCCAGGATGCTCCCAGTAAGAGATGGGGCCCCCAGGCCAGCCTGCCCTGACAGGAACCTTGGTGGCATGTTTCTTGGGTGGGAAGGCACCCCCTCCCCTATTGAACTCCAGCACATGGGTAGCACCCAGCCTGGGGAACAGCTTGGTCCCAAACTGCTGGTTGGCCACCTCCATCATCACACCAATGGCAGCCCCCTGGGTGCTGCAGGAGTTGGTGCTGGGGACAAGCCCTGGGCCACCACAGAACTGCCCTCCTTCAGCCTGGGTGGGCGCCCATGGGGCACAGCACTGCCCACAGCTGCTGGAAAGCAGGCAGGAGCACGCACAGTGCCACCTCCTGAGTCTCACCACCAGGTTTTATTGAGCAGGGCAAGGCTGGGATGTGGCTGTGAGTATGTGAGGAGCCCCGGCAACCCCAATTCCCTCCCTTTCCCCACCAGGAGGGCTTCCTGGGCAAGTTCCCTGGCACCCTCCTGGGCTGCCCCGTGCCAAGGCTGGGACAAATGCAGCCCTGCATCCCTGTCTGCCCCGGGTTTCCTTCCTCCCCAGCTGCAGAGCGTTGGAATGACAGAGCAGTTTTGCAGCTGCAGCCCTCCAAGCAGTCCCCGCTCACCCCCCACATCATGCCATCCCCCAGCCAGCTCCAGCAGCACATCCACCAGCTCCACTCCTTGTTGCCCCCAGGATGCCCTCAAACACCAACGCGCTGCTTGAGCCCCTCCTCATCTTCAGCCCCAGACCTCGTTCATGGGTCCTTTTGTCCGGCTGCCAACAGTGCAGATGGGGCAAGGGAGTCCTTGGTTCCAGGCTGCGTTCCCACCAGGGCCAAGCAAGAGTTCAGTCAGCTCTTCCCTGATGGAGTCCTGTTCCCCACCGCTGCTTGGAGGGGCACAGCTCCACACGTACGTCCCCCACACCAGGGGGAAACACAGCTGGCTTAAACCCAGACAGCAGGAGCGAGGCCGGGGGCAGAGCGGAGGCTACCTGCGCGGCGTGCCACATCTGCAAAGAGAGCACGGCATGGGGTGAGTGCTGCCAGGACAGGGGTGGGGGAGACAGACACACCAGGACCTCCAGGCTCACCCGCTCTGCCCCAGGTCCCCCCCCTCCCTGTGCCCGACCTCTCCAGCACCAAACTGTGGGGTAGGGACCACAGGCAGCCTCTTCACGGGGAGGAGCGAGGGCGATGAGGCTGTAGGTGGTGGCTGAGCCCTGAGCAGCAAGCTTCAGACAAAACAGGGAAATGCAACGGGAAAGGGCCAGCCACAGGCACCATATCCCAAAATTGTCTGCAGTAAGAGTCCAGCCTGTGCTGTTAGGGCAAGCGCTTCGAGACAGTCAGCTAAATGTAAGGAGGGAAAGGGTAGAGTAACCCAAACAACGACTTGTCAAGGACTGCAGGAAGGACACAGCTGGCAGCAAGATGAGGCTGAAACTGGAAATTCGTGGATCCCAGAAACCCAGCGTGGTCTGTGATGATGACAGAGCTACACACTGTCAAGTCACCCAGCCCATCCATCCCCATCCCCGTCCCCTGGATGGGTTTGGCCAGCTTCAAGCGGCTGACCCTGGAGACTACCCAGCACCTATTGAGCCTTCAGTAAAAGGCCTGTTTCCCCACAGCCGCCCACTGTCCCCTCCGTCCTGCTTTCTCCTGTGCCTGCTCAGCACAAGCCCCTCACTGCTCACAGCGTCAGTAAAGACTTAAAGCTGCTCATCCCAAAGAAATAAACCCAGATGACACCACCCATACCTACCCCTGATCACTTACAGTTCACAGTCTTTACGTCTCTTCTTGTCTTGTCTTCTCTTACCTCGGCCCTTGGACTTCCTCCTTCAAAAGGACAAGAAAGGCTGATGTGTGGGAGATGGGACCCACAACCCCAGCAGGTAACACCACCCCCGACATCACTTACCTTCCCAACCTCATCAGGTCCTGCCGGGGCCTGCCGGGTGGAAAAAGGACAGAGCAAAGTGGTTACTTGAGCAATGCTCTCTGTTGAGCTGCTGTTGAGGGGGTTTATTAAGATGCCCCAGTGCACAGCACAATCTACTTGTTATCATTCATGCTTAAAACAGACCCAATATGACTTCCCTCCACGTTATCAACTCCTCAGCCAGGAGCTGATTGCAGTAGGCAGAGACAGCAAAGGGGCAGGGGATGGTTGGCTTTGGTGACTCCCCTGGGGATGTGACACTTTGCCCACGAGGCTGGGAAGTACAGGTTCAGTTTCGGCTGCTCTCAGTGACAACTTTCATAGTTGGGCTGGTTAAGCAAGATGCGATGTCCTGAGTAACATGTGGGATTTGCTGCAAAGTCTCAGTAGTGGTTCTGAGACAACAGCCACGACATACTTGGCTTATGCATCCCCTATAGGGGCCAAGGCCAGGACATCCAACGTGCCTGTGCTAAACTTCAATGGGAAGTGCTGTGAAGGTGTAGAAGGCGGCTTAGGGAGAAGCTGAAAGGTGCTGCAGAAACAAGAAGTTTACACAGTTTCAAAGGCAGCCTGCACAAATCCTTGTAGGAGATCCCCTGGGAGTTACCCTAGGTAGGAAAACCGCAACAGGCTCAGGAAATTCCCTGCATGGAAAATAGCTGGAAGCGGACGGGGAGAGGAAGTAACACATGTGCTTCTTCCCACTCCCTCTTCTGCATCCACCGACAGACGCTCCAGAGACAGCGTGGAGCTGGATGGGTCTTGGGTCTGCTCCAGCACAGCCGCTCTTACAACTGCGGGGGAATACCGACCCAATCTGGGGATCCTCTTCTTCCAGGCAAGGGTCGTGTCTAACAGCTGCCCAGCAGGACATTCAAGCCCCAGCTTTCGCAATACTAAATCACCCAGGGGTCATGATGGAGCGTGAACGCCAGGAGTCCCATGCAGGCGGTGCTGGAGAGGCTCTGCGGCAGGGACCGGCTGTGGTCAGCACCGGAGTGGCTCCCTGCTCCCACAGCACTGCAGCCGCCGGCCAGAGGCCCCATCCTACCCAAGCTCTCACCACTTCTGGGACACAGTGAGCACCCCAAGGGGTTAAATATGTGCCAGGATTCTGTGGCAGGTTGGTGCTGCACATCCATCCCGCGCCAGTGCTGTGTATCCATGCCAGGCTGGCGCTGCACGTTTTAAAGCTTTCATTTATCGGCTTGGACGTAAACCCCCCGCTCCCCAACCCCACATGGGGCAGCCTCCCTTAAATGGGGGCCTGAGGCCCAGCCCTTCAGCTCTCTCTTTGGGCCACAGTCACGCTCAGGTATGCCAAGCCACGGAGCTCCCTGTGGAGCCACCACCTTGAGGATGCTGCCGCAGCCCTGC